AATAGCACCAACCCCTCAGCTTACCACTGGACCACCAGGGAATTCAGTTGTCATAAAAACGAAATGAGAGGGCTTCCCTGGTGGCGCAGTGGTTGAGAGTCCGCCTGCCGATGCAGGGGACACGGGTTCGTGTCCTGGTCCGGGAAGATCCCACATGCCGCGGAGCGGCTGGGCCCGTGAGCCATGGACGCTGAGCCTGCGCGTCCGGAGCCTGTGCTCCGCAACGGGAGAGGCCACAGCAGTGAGAGGCCTGCGTACTGCAAAAAAAAAAAAAAAAAAAATGAAATGAGACACAGCTTTGGGAAAGATCCCTAGTGTTCTCCTTACTTGCTGCAAGTAATAAATCCTTCCTTCTCTCGAAAAAAAAAAAATGAAATGAGAAAATGCATGTAAAATCCCTGGTTCAAAATAAGCATTTAATAAAGGATAGCTATCTTAACCCTTTATAATGATGACAATAATAATAATAGCTGGAGGTACACAGCGGTCTTTAGAGAATGCTTTCTAGAAGGAAAAGGCCTGTTACAGCATGTCTGTCTGTCTGTATAACACTGTAATTTGTTCTTCCACTTTGGAAAACTGGCAATTTCTACTAAAACTAAACAGATGCCTACTCTCCTACGTAGTCATTCACGAGTAATGAAATGCCCTTCACAAAAAGACATGTAGAAAACGTTGACAGTAGCTTTATTTATGATATCCCAAAACCGGAAACAACACAAATGTCCATCACTAGGTGAACGGATAAGCAAATTGTGGAATATTACACGGCAATAATATCTGATACATGCAACAAGATGCATGGATATCAAAAACATATTACGCAGAAGGAACCACAGTAAAAAGAGTACATGTGGTATGCCCCATTTATATGAAGCTCAAAGCACGCCAAGTTCATCTATGGTGACAGAAATCAGAATACCTGTTACCTTTGGGAGTAAGTATGGATGAGGAAATGATAGGAGGGAACCTTCTGACGTGACAGAAACGTTAAAGCTCTGTATCTTGATCAGAGTGGTGGTTACATGCTATATTATATGTAAAAATACATCAAGCTGTACACTTGAGGTGCATATCGTTTACCATATGTAAGTTAAACGGCACACACACATACACACACCATTTTGGCGTGATGGAAATCTTCTTCGGAAGCCCAGTAATAGGGAACATAAAACTCAGCCCTTCTCCCTTCCTCTGGACTTCATCTAAGCTAGGCATCTAAAACTGCCGTCCTACATGGACGCTCTTTAGATGGTGCCCATTTTTGGAGAGAAATATGAATGAGAACCACGAGGAAGAGCTCTTTCAGGCATCGCCTCATGGGCCTGCTTAGGCTCCAGACAGCAGGCCTTACCTTGCAAGCTAGCTGCCACAGATGCAGAGGCCTCTCTCTTTCTAGTAAAGTTAAGTCTGACTGTTTCAGACACATCCTCGCCGTGATCGGGGGTGGGGGAGGGGTGGGGGAACCAGGAAGATGCCTAAGGTTCAGCAGCACGGCTGTACCACCATAATGAGCAGATAGCCCCAGACGACAGAGGACTCTCAGATCCTGAGCTGGCCCTCTATGGTCCAGCCACTCTTCCCCACCTGCAGCCCCTTTCTTAGAAATTCCAGCTTCATAATAAGGAAAGTGGCATCTCTCAATTCTCTGTGGAGCACAGCCATGTTCCCATTCCACTACAATGCATTAAGCCCACCCTGGTGCGAAGCACTGAGTGAGAGAAGTGGAGGACACAGTCTCTGCCCATCAAGGCTTACAGTTTGGATGTGGAAAAAGGCAACTTTAAACAAGAATACATCACGCTCTCAAGCATGTGTTTGGGCCTACTGTCAGGGTACTCACTGTTCAGAGCTGAAGAAAATGGCTTTGGGCCATGGGAGTCAGAGCCATAGGATACCAGAGGAAGCTGGCCAGCAGCTCCTGCCACCCTAGGCTTCTCTCTCTGAGAGCATTCCAGAGGTCTTTGGAAGGGAGAGGTCCTGACATGGCCCAGGAACCACTCCCTCTGCCTTTTCTTTCTGAATTAGGCTCAACCAGGAAAAAGGTCTGCAACTGCACTGCAGTCTGCCTGCTATAGGGTAGGGCGTACACTCCTTGGGGCAAAGAGGTGCTGATGGACTTGAAGCCCAACACCAGTAAGGTAAGGAGGAACCCAGAACTCTGGCCTGCTGCCTCCCAGCCCAGCCACCCACAGGCCCGGGGGGGGGGGGGGGGGCAGGGGAATTCAGCAAGATACTTACCAACTGGAAACAGCTCTCAGCTCTGGTCTGTGAGTTCTTCCCCAGAATGGGTAATAGCGTCCTCTCTCCCTCTCTCCCTTTATCTCTCCTCTCTCTCTCTCTCTCTCTCTCTCTCTCTCTCTCTCTCTCTCACTACTTCCCTACTCTTTCTCACTCTCTCTCCCAAGCACATATTTGGGTAAGTGACTCTGCTAATCCTAACCAGGCAGAATAATACCGGCTGGCCTGGGGCCTGGCGCCGTGTGGGTGTGTGCATGGGAGAGAACCGTGCAAACTTCTCTGCAGCCTGTCAGTTCGGGCAGCAAGCACAGCTACAAGACAGAGATGAAGCCTGTGTGAGTGGCCTGTGTGTGTTCAAGTGCATCAGGTATATGTTCTGTACCTGAGCTTCTCAAAAGAACTCTGAACAGCAACCTCGCCATGGTGACGTCCAGGTGGCAGCCCAGTCACCCTAACCGCAGGCCAAGGACATCAGAGAATCAGCAGGCTTCTGGGAGTCAGACTTGCAGACATGGAGCCAAGAGATCAGTCTTGAGATAGCTGGGTGTGGGAGTGTGTGAAGAGGCTTAGAGTCCCAGCATCAGACTGACAGGTTTTCCACCAAAATGTGCAGATCTGAACTAGTATATGTGACAGGTGAGTGTGAGAGAGTAGTGGGGGAAAGGAGAACTGGAGGGGATAACGGGGGTTGACTAAGAGAGAGAGGGATGGATGCAGGAATGTGACCTGGGTAGAGAGACCTGGAGTCCGTAGGGTGAGGTGGGCCGGGACGGTGCTGACAGCTGTTGAGGTGTGGAGTCGCGCGGGTATGTACTAATCACCACGCGTATTCAAGCTTCCCTTTTCCTGCCGTGGCGCCGCAGAGCTCCCTCTCGCCCCGCAGGAGCGGGGAGCGGTGGGTGTTCGGGGGCCTCCGCCGCCGGCGGCTCGGGGCCAGCTGAGCGGGGCCAGGGAAGCTCCTCTGCCTGCCTCGGGGCCGCCGGGCGGCTCACCTGGCGGGGGCCGGCCTCCAGGCTCCCAAGGCGCGGGCCGCTCCAGCGCTGTTGCAGGATTCCCGGCCGTGCGAAGAGGAGCGCCTCGCTCCATCAGAGCGGAGAGCACAGCTCGCTCCGGCTGTCGGGGCCTCCGCCGCGCGGGGCGGACGCGGGGCCGGCGGCCGCGCTAGGTCGTAGGGTCTCCACGGCGTCGGCCAGCGGTGCTCGGGCTGGAAGACCGGAGCCGCAGCTGCGGGCCGCCGGGAAACCCGGGCCAAAGAGGCTGGGAGCTCCGCCCGGCCCTTGGACGTGGGCACCGCCCCAAGGTCACTGAGCCGGAGCCCTGCGCGCCGCAACGCCCTGGGGCCCCACACAAGCCTCGGCGCGGTCTGTCTTGCCGGCGGGATCCCGACCTCGCCCAGAAGCAGGGCCCTACCCAGCCTGCCCAAGAGGGCTGAGAAGTAAACCAAGGCGCGCTCCACCGTTTCCTGGAGAGATCGATACCTGGGAGCAGGAACTCCTCTTCCTTCCTACTCAGAAAATCCTTGAGAGCAACCCCTTCCTTTACCCCCAACCCCTACACACACACAGACACAGACACAGACACACACACACACACACACACACACACACACAGAGTCCTTAAAGGCTGAAAAGGGAGCCAAGTTAGGAATTCAGGGAAGTGATGACACACACAACAATGCTGTCACACCTGGCTGCTGCAGGCCAGCAGCGGAAATGCCTGCAAGGGGGAGAGAGGGAGAGGGAGAGGGAGAGAGAGGGGGCGCCAGCCTGGGTGGTCAGAAAAAAACAGAGGAGAGAGCAGCCCCCCACCCCCCAGCTGTATTTTCCCCTGCCAAGGCCCTGGGGGAGGATGGACAGTGAGGTCAATCTGCAGCAGCCCCAAACCCAACTCACACCACTCCCACCCATAGCCTGGGCACTAAGGGGGGTGAGGAAGAAGAAAACACCTTCGCTCTTGCTCAGGAAGCAACCACAGAAGTTTTGAACAAGAGCTGCTTGCCCCAGTGTATGTTGGAAGCAGTGAAAGAAAACAATCAAGCCACTTGGGACCTTTTCCCTCTTACTGTGGTGCTCAGGCCAGGCTGCCCTGCTGAGCTCTCTGGAGTCATCTTCAAGATGCTGAATTCCAAAGAGCCTGATCACCCTGTCCTCCTTTCCTTTAATCTCAGAATGCAGATCAGGGGCCTGAGTGGGAAGAGGCCGCACATGAGGGTGCGGCCTGTGGATGCTGGGGAAAAGGCCCATAGGCCACCAGTGGCCCTTCAGGCTTCCTCAGAGACTGGGCAGCTTGGGAGGAAGAGGTAGTGACAGGCATTGGGCCAGCCACTCCAGACATGCCAACCACTACACACACCCGCGTGACATCCATTCAGTTCACCTTCCTCCACAAAGTACCCTGGCCCCATCAGCGACAAGGGGTGTGGGGCATGAAGACTCAAAACACCGGCCATCTCTCTCACACTTTATGATTGCAGACTTTTTGTTAAGGCTGAGTTAACTGTTAAAAGACACACCTGACTATTTTGCCAACACTGATTTTCCCTGAGACAACCTCCCTGCATGCAACTGGGTCCCAATCAGACTTCTGCTGAAAGTAGGTGAGAATTCACCCCTCAGCCCTGGAGAAAGATTGAACAAATGTCTTGTCAGGAGAGAGATTTGAACAAGTATCTCCCTTACAGCCTGTTGTTTTTCTTCCTAGGCTGTGATAAATTATATACACCAGCAGCGAGAGAGGCAGGAAGAATTGAGAAAGAAAGAAAAGGGGAAATGGGGAAGGGAAGGAAAGAATAAATAAAGGAGAGAGAGGACAGAGAAAAGAGGAAAAAGAAAGAAGATGCGATATTCATGAGCCACATTTACTCTGCTACATGATACACACATACCATTACATATCTATAAGTATAAATGTGTTTTACCCCATAAATATAAATATCACACCTTGTATATGTGCATACCTGTGTTTCTGCACCAGCACACGCACACCCGGACAGCTGGTATCTCACGTGTCACAAGGACAGACCCTCCCCATGACTTCTATTTGTGATGCGGTGCACATACATATACAGTCCCCCAAAGCCCCACGGCAACATCTGCGCCTGTGTCGGCGCAGGGAGCACAGTGGGGTCTACTTGGTTAAAGGGAGTCTCTGTGTGTTAAAGCACACATCCAACCCGTAGGATTACGACGCGGTTACTAAGTAGGGGTCTGGTCCCTAGGTCCAGGAGCGGCGCAAGGAAGGGTGCAGGGGCTTCAGGCGGAGCCCCCGGGCCCCTCTTCCCAGCGATCTTCTTTCCCGGCTCCGTCCCGGCCCAGTCACTCTGAGAGCGCAAGGGACAGGACAGGCCGAGGTTTCTTCGTTCAGTGACACGCGTTTCTGGGCTGAATTTCCCAAAGCCAACGCGCAGCTCTCTGCACCCCACCCTCGTCCGGCCCCCTCGCCGTCCCGCCCCTCCCCCGGACCGGAGCTAGAAGTTTAGCCCCCAGCCAGCAGCGAAGGGCAGAGCAAAGGAGTCGTTTTCTTTCACCTGGAAGCTGCGAGGAGGCTTGGCGCGCCTCTCCCCGCTAGGGCCCGAGCCTCCAGGGCACGGGCCAAATGCGGACGGACCCCGCCGAGGCCCTCGGCATCTCCCGGCCCAGTCCGCAGAGCGAGCACCGGCAGATTCAAGGGCTTGTGAGAGCGTGAGCGCGGCTGTCCGCCGGGCCCCCTAAGCTCGCTGGGAGGGGGCAGGCTGGTCCGGGCTGTGCGGGGCGTTTACAAAAAGTGACTTGGAGATGAACTCTCCCATGCGCTGCTGGCCGCCCCGCTATAGGGGCGAAGGCGCCTGACGCAAGCGGAACTCGGCGGAGCCCATACGAATCAGAACAGAGCGAGGCTCCTGGCGCACTAGGGACTCCAGGAGGCAGCTCCGCCAGAGACGCGGGTCTTGCCTCGGGAAACCGGAGGGTGGGGGGAGGGGAAGAGCGCAGAAAAGAAAACCCACCGAGGCGGGGACTGGCCTGGGCGGGGAGGGGCGGCGGAGCCGGAGCCCCTCTCTGTTGGGCGGACTGCCCATGGCCAGAGGCTGAGTTCCACTCCCGCCGACCTCTCCCTAGGGGAAGGGAAAGAAGAGAGAGGCGCGAGAGGCCGCCAGCGAGAGCGCGGGCGGCATCAGCAGTCTCCAGAAGTTTGAGACTCGGCCGTGAGCGAACTTGTGCGCCGGGACTCTTTGCCGCGCCAGCGCCAGCGGAAAAGAGCAGGGACTACCCGGCCGCGGCGTGCCGGCTTTGTCATGATGGCTAGCTATCCCGAGCCCGAGGACGCCGCGGGGGCCCTGCTGGCCCCGGAGACCGGCCGCGCAGCCAAGGAGCCCGAGGCGCCGCCGCCGCCGAGCCCGGGCAAGGGTGGCGGCGGCGGCGCCGGGACAGCCCCAGAGAAACCGGACCCGGCGCAGAAGCCCCCATACTCGTACGTGGCGCTCATCGCCATGGCGATCCGTGAGAGCGCCGAGAAGAGGCTCACGCTGTCCGGCATCTACCAGTACATTATCGCCAAGTTCCCGTTCTACGAGAAGAACAAGAAGGGCTGGCAGAATAGCATTCGCCACAACCTCAGCCTCAACGAGTGCTTCATCAAGGTGCCGCGCGAGGGCGGCGGCGAGCGCAAGGGCAACTACTGGACGCTGGACCCGGCCTGCGAGGACATGTTCGAGAAGGGCAACTACCGGCGCCGCCGCCGCATGAAACGACCCTTCAGGCCGCCGCCCGCGCATTTCCAGCCGGGCAAGGGGCTCTTTGGGGCCGGAGGTGCCGCGGGTGGCTGCGGCGTGGCAGGCGCGGGGACCGACGGCTACGGCTACCTGGCGCCCCCCAAGTACCTGCAGTCCGGCTTCCTCAACAACTCGTGGCCGCTACCGCAGCCGCCCTCGCCCATGCCCTACGCCTCGTGCCAGATGGCGGCGGCCGCTGCGGCGGCGGCCGCAGCAGCGGCGGCCGCAGGCCCGGGCAGCCCAGGCGCGGCCGCTGTGGTCAAGGGGCTGGCGGGCCCGGCTGCCTCGTACGGGCCGTACTCACGCGTGCAGAGCATGGCGCTGCCTCCCGGCGTAGTGAACTCGTACAACGGCCTGGGAGGCCCGCCCGCCGCGCCCCCGCCGCCGCCGCCTCACCCCCACTCACACCCGCACGCACACCATCTGCACGCGGCTGCCGCACCCCCGCCGGCCCCGCCGCACCACGGGGCCGCCGCACCGCCCCCCGGCCAGCTCAGCCCCGCCAGCCCGGCTACTGCCGCGCCCCCGGCGCCCGCGCCCACCAACGCACCCGGCCTGCAGTTCGCCTGCGCCCGGCAGCCCGAGCTCGCCATGATGCATTGCTCTTACTGGGACCACGACAGCAAGACCGGCGCGCTGCACTCGCGCCTCGATCTCTGAAAGGCCAGGGCCCGCCGGCTGCGAGGATGCAGGAACGCGCGACGCCGGCCTTGGACGCAGCCACCGCCGCCAGCCAGACCGCGCGCCCGCTGGGGCCGCCCCCTGAGCCAGCGCCCACGGCCCCTCTGCGCCTCCGCGCTCCCCTCGGCTCCCCTCGCTCCTCTTTGTCTCCGCTTCTCCTCCTGTGCTCGCCTCCCTGCCCTCTATGCCCTTTCGCTCCTCCGGCCTACAGGCCGCCTCTCCACGCGTTTTCTACAGGCCTAGTCTTCTCCGGGCGCCCCAGCGTCCAAGCTGGACACCGGTTGCCAAAATTCACGGCGGAGAGGAAGTGCCCGGGGCCGAGGTGCAGCCGGGCGTCGGCGGCGCAGACCTCCTGGCCTTCTCTCACAGGTCGGTGCGCTCGCGCTCGGCTCTCTCCGTCCGGCTGCCGCGCCATCCTTGGCTAGAAGCGCCGGCCTGGGCGGGCAACGAGACCCGTGCCGACCGAGGAAGGGACGAAAGTGTATTTGCTCCGCGTACCCTCTTGGAGCTGTTCAGAAGCCCCTTGCTGGGGCCCACTGGGCCGGGCGGGGGTTGGGCCGGAGCAGGGAGCCGGGGCCGCCTCGCTCGGCCGCCTGCGCCCGGGTTTACACCGCATCCGGGCTCGGAGGGAGGCTGCGTTTCCCCTGCTCTCCATCCCGGCGCTTCGGGCCCCTTCAGGCCCGGGCGGCTGGCTAATATTTTGCTAAAAAGATGGGGAGGGCTATTTTAGATGATATCAAAAAATATATTTTTTAAAAGAAAAATCTCACCGGAAAACCGGCGAAGTATTGTGGCCTTGGAGTTTGCTAAAGTAAAACATGAAAATCTTCTCTACAGGAGATTTGAAGTAGAATTCCTGTCGGCCCTTCAAAAAGCTGTGTTCACAGAGGTAGGAGAATATGCCCAGTAACAGACGGTTTCCTCGGCAAACTAGAGGATTTCCCCCCCTCAACCTATCTTTTAAAAAAATACCAAAAAATTTCCCCTATCTTCCGATGCAAACCCCCGAGCGCCGGGAGATCACTGCCTGCCTGGCGGAAGCTGCAGGGACAACTCATCCCCTCCCTGATTTTTGTTTTTCAAACGTCTTGCTTCTCCCACCTTGGGCAGGAGAAATGTGAAACCCGGCAGCAGTCGGACCAGGCGGGCTTGTGGCCCCGAGCCTGCTGGCCCAAAACTCTAGACCTGGTTGTTCTGTAGTGTGTCGTTTGGAGGACCAAATTTTTCTAGAAAGAACTAGAGCACTTTTGTTGTTCGTTTGTTGTTGTTTTGTCTTGTCGATTCCCGAATAAATTTTTTTGTTCTTTCTTTTCACACGGACTTATATTATTTACGTCGCGTCTAAGTTTGTTCAGCAGCTAGTTAAAAGAGGGAGATTTTTAGCAAAAAGTTATCCTTTTTCAGATAAACAAGGGTTGAGGGCAGCCGGAGTGGGGGGCCTTTGTGGTTGTCGCTGCTGCTCTGTTTTCTCGGGGATTGTTTGTTTTCTGTGTCATCGCTGGTCTGTTGAGGCTGTTTCACGTCATCGCAGAGACATTATTTGCCGTGGTTCTTTCACAAGGCGTGACTGTACGTAGGATTTGTTCTATTTTTGCATCCATGCAAGTTTGAACTTTACCTCCTCCACAGCCGTGCTAGGTGTATGGGCTGTGTTTTTATTATATTGTCTTCATGCTTTTCAATTTTTCTAGTTAAATCTAACAGCCAGAAGAGTTTATTCCAAATAGATAAAATCCTGGTTGCGGAAATGCTCTGTAAGCTGAAAACCTCCGTACAAACGTAACGAGTGACTGATTGCCTTATTTTTAATGGTCAGAATTCATTTACCTTGAGATATGTGTAAGAGATTTGGCAATATCAGAGATAGGTGAACATACGGCCTGGCTGTAGAAATGTAATCTTTTCTCTCTCTTTTTCTTTAATGAGACTCTTCGAATAACGAATTCAGACTGGTGCTTCCGCGCAGGCACACGGGAGTTCGACCGGATTACAGGCCGGGGCTGAGAGGAGGATTAGAGGTGGTCAGCTTTCAGTCGTTCGGTGGGATGACAAGTATCAACCAACTCTTGCTGCCACTGCAGCGGCGCAGCTTGAGCTGGACCCCGCTCCCAGCCACGTGTTGCTCACTGCCCCCCACCCAGCCTGTACAGCAGTGGCCACAGGTCCAGGCCGACCAGTAAGCCGGGAGGAGCTGCCCGCGGCAAGGAATGAGCCTGCAGGCCTCCCACTTCAGCCTATACTGGTGGTTACGCCTCGGCAATGTTAGAGTGGGAGCCCTGTTATGTGTGGTTGGCCCCAAGGGGAAGTGGCTCAGGCTCAGAAATCCCACTTCTTCCTCGGGCATCCCGGGGAGGCTGGAAGGTGGAGATTGAAGCCGTGCGGGTTCTGAGGAGCATCACCCCGAGACCGGGACTGGAGCCTGCCAGGGCCAGGGGAACCAGAGCGGGCTGCAGATGAGCTTCAGCCCTGGCAGGCGAGAAACCCAAGAGGCTGGTCAGGCTTGGTGTCTGGGTGCTTCTGGCAACCTGTCGCACCTTTGTCTGGCTGACTAAGGTGAGGTGGGGAAAAGAAAGTAGATGGCTGCGTGCTTGCCCGTGCTTTCTGTGATGTGAACGTGTATCTCATTGGTAGTTGTGTAGTCTATGCCTGCTGCAAATGTGTGTGTACAGTGTAAGTCATGTCCTGGTGACAGGGAGAGAGGTGTGTATATCTGTCATTCACCCTCAGAGAGGGCATATATTTTAGGCATTGTACTAATCATATGGCTAATATTCAGGGAATGGTTACTGGGACCACAGCGTGTGTTGCATTCATAAGTCATTGGTAACATATGCAGTTATGTTCTGGGTATATAATTTTGGTTTGTTGAATGAAAACAGAGAATACATACAGAGCCTTTGCTTCAGCTGGTCGAGGCTCTCTGTTCCAAGCCTGGCTCTCAGCACCCCACAACTGCTATTCCAAGCAGAGGAAGAAGAGAAGGGAAGTCTTCTGGGCAGAGCCTCCGGTGAGGTGGGGAAGTTGGCGTAGGCCAGCGCTGAAGGACAGAGCCTTTCTCTGTCCCCCAAGAACTGAAAGGCGAGAGGCACCCACGACTGGGGAAAGAGCAGTAGCCTCACCCAGTTCGGAGGATGAGATGGAGGAATCGGGGAGGGATTCCTGGTCTACACAGGGATTAGAGGAGTTGAGAGAAGGGAGCCAAGTCATACCCCACTTCCCCATGGATGCCCGCAGAAAGACATCTGTCTCTAATTCCAGCCCCAGGAGGTTCTCCAAATCTCTACAGTTTGGTCATTTCCCCCCAGTGTTACAAGTTCGGGCACTGGTTGATTTTCTTCATCTTTCATTTCCTTTCTTTCCTCTCCCTCTTTGCACTTTTGAGTTTCTGTTAGAGAAGATGGTTTAAGGAATTCCCTAAGCAAGGACAAAAGTATTTAAGAGAGTTCCTGCTATGTAGCAATTATGCCTTAGCGTATACAGTCTGGTCTAGATGGCCAGACCATGTGGGTATATGTATATATGTTTGCCAGAGTGTACTGTAAATACAACGTAAATAGCTTGATATAAATACGTTGCCACTTTCTGCATGTCCTGGGTAATGAGTTGCTACACATGGCGTTGAATGAGGAGTATGTGCGCACTTGGATGCATGTAAACATCCTCACACTCAGCACTGACAAGATGAGCCCCTCTCCTCACGTTTACACACAAATTCTTGGTCATCCCCACCCCCTAGAACTGCCCAGCCAGAGTACTTGGGTTCTGGTGGGGGAGAGTGTCCAGTTCGCAGGGGGACCTGGGAGAAGTCTTTGCCGGTGCAGTACATGCACCAAGGAAGGGACTGTAAAATGGGGACCTAGGAGGTTCTCTGGGATGGCTCTGCACCCTACTCCAGAGGGTGTTCGGGCCTGTTTCCCCCTTGCCTAAGTAAAGCGTTCACTGCCCTCCCTCCTGGCTTTGGGCAGGCAGGAAGCCCAAGACCTTTCGCCTGAGGTTATGTGTCCTTCTGCCCTTGCCTGGGCCTCTCGCTAGCCAAGGCTGGAGCTCCAGGCTGGGAAGAGCCCCCTGGTGGTGGGTGGAAACCAGGGGTGGACCAGGGCTTCTTGCAGCCAGATGGGCAGGAGAGGATGGGCCAGGAAACTGGGTCAGACCCAAGACAATCGGCCCATGAATAAACTCTTCCCTTAATGGAGGTCTGGTGCACCAGAACCGCTGAGCCAGGCTCCTGGTCTCCAGGAGTGGGTCAGGCTCCAGGAAGAGCGGCTTGGTCAGGCTGAGGTTTCCTGCGATGCTCCCACTCTGTGGAGATAAGCCAGCGGTGACTATGCCTTGTCAGTCCCGCTGCCTCTGGAGGGCAGCCCCTGCTTCTGGGAGTAGCCTGTGGAACCTGTATGAAGGGATGGGCCCAGGAGCCCACACCTCTCCTCTGTGGTGGGGACTGGAGGCCTGGAGTGGTTGGGAGCGACCTTCATGCCCCAGAACCACAACCAGAAGTGAAAGATTCTTCACTTCACTTCTGAAGGATTCTTGAAACCAAGTGATCTGATTGGCTTTCTGCTTTCTGGAGAGAGGGCTCCATTCTGTCACAAGAGTGTCTGGGCCCCAGGAACCCCAAATCTTGTTTGGGGTCCTGAGAAGAGAAGGAGCCAGACAGAGGTCACCCAGCTGTCTGTCAGTCAAACAGCCTCAGAAATTTTAAGGAGAGACCTGAGAGTACTGAGCCCAGCTACCCACCTGCCAACTGATGTTCGATGTTGGGGAGCTCAGTGGGTGAAGGGGGAGCCATCCAGAGGAGAAGGAAGCACAGGGCTGGGTCTGAGCTGTGGGCGGATTTTACTCTGGAAACATCTGCTATGCCAGCTGTTTGCTGCTCCCTCCTCGGTGGTAAGCTCTCACAAACTTGTTCTGGGACCATGTCACCCCAGGGAGATGGTTTGTGCAGGAGGGGGCAAGGACAGGGACTGTTCAGCCTGGAAGGACTAGTGTGGAGGCTGGTGACCTCCTTTAATAACTGTGGGACCTTGGGGGGAAAAAAACCCTTCTGAATTTCAGTTTTCTCATCTGTAAAATAGAATTACATATACCTTGCCAGGGTTATTAAAATAATTAAATGTTCTCATGTCAAAATGCCCAGTTTATAATAGATAGTCAATATGGTTTTCCTTCCCCTATTGAAAGAGGAAAGTAAGAAAGAAGGGAGGAAGGGAGGGAGGGATGAAGAGAAGGGGGAGAATGGGGAAAGGAGGGAAAGAGGAAGAAAGGAAAAGCCTTTGATAGTAACTCTGTAGGGTATGACATCCAAATGCAGCGGCTGTGGCCACCCCTGCACGGCCCATGAGCCCAGGCCACTGATCACCTTGGCCGTCCGGGCTCTGGCGATTGCATCCCCCCTGCCTCAGCCCCTTGACCCTGGGGGTGAGGCGCGTTCTGTTGCTGGGAATACCCGATTCGTGGGGGCACAGACGGAGAGCCTGGTCCGGGGCTCCTCCAACGGCCCTCTCGCTTCTCCTAAGCCAGTCTTCACCAATACATGAGGTTTTCCCTGAGAAAGGCCCACTGACCTGCGAAGTGACACCGACTCAGGCGCTTGGGACCAGCAGCAGCCGCCACTCTCAAGCTCTTGGGCCGACGCCCCCACGCCCTCAGGTGCCTCCCTCTGGAACGCGGGGCTGTTAGAACTTTTTCCCCCTTTTTCAGAAAAGCAGTAGGTAGCCCCGAGGTGGGAAGTGGCGGAGGTCAGCTTGTGGGAGAGGCTCTCCCCGGTCTTTGTGGAGAAACGGGAAACCTGAGGGGTAAACGCAGGAAACGGGTTGGCCGAGCTGCGGCGGGCAGAGGCGCAGCCCGCGGGTGACAGCGGAGACCGCATGGGGCCGTGGCTCCGCACAGCCGGGCCCGGGCGCCAGAGCCTCCAGTCCGCGGGCCTGGTGACGGCGCTGCAAGCGCGGATCCCCAGGCGCGGACCCGGTGCCTCCTGGCGGCTCTAAAACTTCGGTGAGAACGACTGGGCCCGTCTGAGCTCAGGGTGCTCCGGACAGCAGGGCGAGCAGGGGAAGCGCAGGAGACCCTGACCGTCCCCGGAGGTGGCGGAGCGCACCGAGCATTGGCCGCCCGAGCCCCCCCCACGCCGGGAGACTGACTCCGCTTCTCCGCGTTGGGAGCTCAACCTGACCTCGTTGTCCTTAGTAATAGCACTATCAAGCTGAATAAAATAAAACCTTTTCTGGATTCTCCACGGAAAGTTTTCTTTAGGCAGGCGAAGCAAAGGAAAGGACAGGATCCCGGGAAACTTCAATCCCTATGGATGAGGAGGGAAG